TTTTTGAACTTGTGAAGAACACATATGAAACGTGATAATATTTCTATAAGGTATGAGTGCTCATACATCTTAGTTTTCGGTATTTTAAACTTGCTGTTATTACTCATGCATTAGTAGGCATATATGATTATTATTTATTTTAATTAAATTTTAATTTTATATGCCATATGTGGTATCCTGCATTTGTCCTTGAGTAACCTTAAGAGGTTTTGAGCTCTTTAAAACGACACATTAGAACTTATCAAGAACACATAGCGGCCCTTCTAATGTGTTTGTGCTTTTTAGGATTTTTGCTTGATTTCTTAGTAATATTAACCATTAATCGGCTATCTCAACTTCACCAAAATATCATATTATGTGCTTGGAATATATTATCTGAAATTTTGTTTATGAAGTGGTCATTTATCGTAATTTATATTTCTCTGTAAAATTTATGCTTCTATGCAAAATTTCAGTCTCATGAATTTAACAAATTATTTTGCTTGATTTTCCAGTGCAGAAACGGACATATTGCATGCTATATTTGTTGTCCGAAGCTCTTAAATAAATGTCACGTATGTTCTCAACCTATCGGTAACCGGCGGTGCATCGCACTCGAGAAAGTCATCGAATCCATGTTGAGCCCATGCAAATATGCCAATTTAGGATGCAGAGCTGTTCTATCCTTTGCTGTGAAAGCTGATCATGAAGAATGTTGCGGTCATGCCGCTCTCTTCTGCCCAATCAGCAACTGCACATTCTCTGGCTCAAGAAATCTTCTCTTCGCACATGCCAAAAGGAAGCATGGTAACATTTCGATGAATTTCTCTTACAATCTATCTTTCATGATTGCTTTGGAAAAGCATCAACGTTGTATGATTCTGCTTGGGGAGGATGGTCATTTCTTTCTCCTCTTGAACTGTCATGAGACCTTTCTCGGGAATATTCTATCTGTGATCTGCATGACTTCGAGTAGTCCCGAGTATGATGAGTTCTCATACGAGCTCGGAGCGGATGGCGGGGGAAGTTCGCTTCGGTTTAGGACCTGGGCAGAGAATATAAGGAAGTGGAATGGATTTCATTCTTCTAAGATTTTCCTAGTTGTTCCAAATAGCTTCTTTACTTCCAACTCTCAATTGGTTATAAGTGCTTGCATCTATAAATCTATAGGTGTGGTCAAGTAATGTAAGTCTTTTTTTATTTTTGTTGATCATTATACTTAGAAGCATCTGTAACAGATAGATATATGAGTTTTATAATGATTAAGCAATGGAAACATGATGAAATGGTGCTTTTCCTTTTTTTTTTGTTTTCCTTAATTTTCTATCTTTAACTTAAAATGTAAACATTAAGATGAACAATGGTATTTTGTTGTAAGAAAAAAAAAAAAGAATGATCAACTATATTATATTCTAATTTTTCTGTACTTTTGTGCAAGCTGATCACCATGTGCTTTCATTGTTGTTGATGACTTATGTTTGACATCCTCCGATTACTTTATGCATGGTCAGTATGATACAAGTTATTGTAATATTTTAGTTTAGAAAATCATTGTGAAAAGCACAAAATATGCTTTATTTTATTGACTTTAGCCAATATTGATGTTGTACCTTTGGGTGTAAATGTGTTGAGCTTGAGAGAGCTCAAGATTGGCTCTTTTTCAGCACTCGTTTTATTTTTTTTTTTTTTTTTTGTTCGGCTGATCTTTGAAATAGCTTGTGAAAAGTCTGTTTGTGTTCAACTAGAGTAAGTTTTTTTTTTTATTCAAATTAAGTTGTGTGCGGCTCGAATTTGAGCTCAAGAATAACTTTGATGGAGCCGGCCCACATGGCTCGTGCTCTATAGCGGGATTTCTTGCATTTAAAGACTCCTGAAGGTGTAAATGAACTCCTCCCACATGTGGGACTAGATAAGAAGAAATATTGCGTCGGACTCCAGACACAATATTTTCTCCTAGACAAGACCGTGGTTTTGTCTATTCTGGCATTTACATGCATCTATGTATTAACTTATCCAACACCTAAACAAAGACTGTAGACTGTTGGTTTGTTTTTTTTTTTTTTTTTTTTTTTTTTTTGGTCATTTCCATGCAAAATACCCAATCACGGTGTATTTACATATCTAACATCTAAATTTTAATTTTTACATTTATACCACCCAATATTTTTATATACTTTTTTTAAAATACAGTATAAATAATCAATATAAAAAATAAATAAATATCATCATTTAATTATTATTTATTATTAGCAAAAAATGAGCCGAACATGAACAAACAAACTTTTAATCATTTTTCAGCTTGTTTATAAATTGAGCTAAAAAAAATTCTTCTTGATAAACTTGCTTGTTTAACGAATAAATTTAACACGAGCTACTCAACGAGCCAAAAATGAGCTGTTCACGAACAATGAGTTTTTTTTATGACCCAGTTGTACTTTGTAAATGTCTTTCTTAAATAAAATAATTTTATTAAACCATTGGACCCAAAATAAAATAGTTTTTATGTACCTGCTATCCAATACTTTTAATTTTAATATTCACATTTATAACTCTCAAATTCTTAACATCATACCAAAACTATAACTAACTTTAATTTTCTTATGTAGAATACATCTGTATATATATATATATATATATATTTTGATATAATTATGATATTAAGATGAGGTTTATGTAACTAATAAAATTTAAATATTAAACATGTAACCACAAAAGAATTAAGTGAAAAGTAATATCCTCTAATGACTAATATGTATCATGCATTTTCTCATATCTACTTTTATTAAAAATATTATTAAAACTATTAAAATTATTCATCTCTTACATTTAGCAATTTCTTGATGTATTGTAGTTTTCAACATTAGTTCATTGAATCACATGTTGAATCTTGGATGCAACCTATTTCAAAGTGTTGTTGTTGATTGAAATTGTTTGAATAAAAAATACTAAAAAGTTGCAACCACCTCCAATGACCGCCATTGCCGGCCACTGTTAACTATCATAGGCTGCCGCCTGCTCCTTGCGACAAAGCACTGTACGAAGCAACCTACGAAGCGACGTTTCTTCACGGACATTGCGTCAATCCCGAAGTTGGTTCATTGATGCACTGATTCTAACTCTCTCCTGTGATCCTCCCTATTGTGGAGCGACAAGTATATCCACGCACGCACAGAAGTTATAGCTCGGGAGTCTATGTAACTCTTTTCCGTATGCGAGACAAATGATTGTATCAGTAACCATCAATTTATAGTGGATCTCTTCAAGTAAGCCAAATCCCGTGGGTTTTCATTTTTTTGGATTTTTAATGAAATTTTTTTTGGTCTTTCATTTATATTATTTATATTATCTGAGAGTGTGTTTTGTTCTCCTAAATAAATGTGTAAACGTGTTTGGTTCGTTTAAAATTTAGTTTGTTTGAAATAAGCTCATGTTTTGAAATTGTTCGTGAAGCCACTGTTCGTGCTCGTTTCTTAACGAATGAGCCGAACACGAGTCGCTCGCGATCAACGAGCCAGTTTGACATCCCTAATATTAATATATATAAATAATATATGATATTAATTATATAACTTATATTATATAAATATATAATATCTATATTAGTATATTACTAATATAGTATATTAATATATTATTATTAATATTTTATTATATATTATAATTTATAAAATTTAAATTTTTAAAATAACATAAATTTTTTATATATAATTATTTTAAATTATTTTATATTTCAAACAATAATGATTCAAACACGAACGAACACATCACTCTTCGTGTTTGATTCGTTCAACTAACCGAACGAAAAAAAATTTGTTCACGTTCGTCTCATTTACTTATCGAACGAATCAAACACGAACTCATTAACGAACCGGACATGAATTGTTCGCAAACAACTATCTTTTTTGACAGCCCTACTCCTAAAATGCCAGCCATTTATATTAAGACGTTTATCAATCATTTTTATATAAAATTATGATATTAATTTATCACTTCTTTCAATACCCAAAATCACTTAAACACAATAAAAAAAAGGGAGTTTTTACATGCATAACACAAAACGTTTCTATTTACGTATTTCACCCCCAAACTTATATATTTACAAAATTCATACTTCACCTGTGCTGCTCGATTCCAAAGAACAGAATGGGGGAACCATTAGCCGTGTTTTTGGATTTTGGCTTAACAGTGTGATTACTGAAAATGTTTAAATGTTTTGTATGCTTGAAATATAAATAAGTAAATTTAGGGATGAAAATTTGTAATTATAGAGAAGTTTAGATGTTATTAAGTAAATCTCCCAAAGGATAAAGGTTAACCTATTAATGAGATTATCAAACCAAAGCTTTGCTTCGAGCAGCTTTCTAAAGTGTCTCCTCGATATCCTTAGCACGCATCATATCAAATTATTGGACTTGGACCCATTTTTTATAGATTTTTCTATCTCAAAATATTTTATATATAAATAAAAAAATGAATTTAACTATTAAAATATAATCATAAGTGTTATATTTATAATTATGAAAATATGAAATAGGTAAAAACCTTAATTTTAAAGTAAAGACCATAGATATGAGACCTTCTGAAAGATGAAACATTTAGCTTTTGATGGTGCGTGGTCATGTTTCTATCATCCAATATTTATTTAGATGAATTTTTTATTCGGTCTCAATATCAAAAGTTTATAATCAAATTCACTGTATTAATACAGAGGAGATATTGGAGGTTATATCTGTATTATACTTCCGGTAACGCCCTTGTAATCTACCGTTACAAACGTCTAAAAAATAAAAGCACAACTTATAAGGTTGTGTAGGTTGGTGTAACGGCTAATACTTTCCGCACGCAAATTTTTTTCAATCAGAAAGAAGTTGTATCACGGATGCTGATGTAATTTTGTATGATGAAGCCTGTCACTGTACATGCAACGCTTCGTCTCCCCGACTGCCCGACTCCCCCCGCCTCTCTATAAATTATTGTCGACGGAAGAAAATTGTGAAGGAATTTGTGATTGGGAGGAGACGATGGTCTTGGACAAGGGCATGAGCGGTGGCAAAAGGAAGAATGGCAGCTGCGAGGAAAAAGAGGGTATGAGGAAGAGTGCATGTGGTCGTGGTCATGGTCGGGTCAAAGGGGAAAGTTCAGAACCGGAGGAGGAAGAAGAAAGTTCAGAACCGGAGGAGGAAGAAGAGGAGGAGGAGGAGGAGGTGGAGGAGACGGGAGTGCACAGACGTAATAATATCACCAGAAAATTTGGATTTAGCGTTGACCTGATGTTCTCCGCTGCCCTATCTGCTTCAACCCCCTGACTCCGCGCATTTATCAGGTCAGACTACCTCCACCCTTTCTTTCTCTGTACTGGATTTGGAAGACCTTTGCTTTCTTTGCTCTTTTCTCTATGAATCTTCCATTCCTTCTCTGCACACGAACTGCTTGCTTCATCTGATTGACACAAGCCATTGTGGTATCCTACATTTGTCCTTCGAGTAAGCTCAAAGTTATAAGCACTATGAAGACTATGGGTGCTTCTGTCTTTTGATCTTTTTCACTTTTATTTTTCAGTCATTTCAGCTTTATTCTATTTACTTGCCCTGTTTATTGCTGACTTTTTCATTTCTTGTTTCACTACATCACTTCAAATTTACTTGTCAATGGTTTCTTTGTTCCTCAACTTCCAAATTATGTAGTATTATCAATTACATTGGTGTCTTGTAACTTTTTTTTTTGTAGTCTTATAATTTATGTTTTTTTTTTCTGAAATTGTCATTCATGCAAGATTTTAGTATCATGATCTAACAAGTTATTTTACTTGATTTCTCAGTGCAGAAACGGACATATTGTTTGCTCCCATTGCTGTCCTAAACTCAAAAATAGATGCCATGTGTGTTCCCAACCTCTCGGTCGCCGGCGGTGTATCGCGCTAGAGAAAGTCATCGAATCCATTAAGAGCCCATGCAAACATGCCAATTTCGGATGCAGAGCTATTCTATCCTTTGCTGAGAAAGTTGCACATGAAAAATATTGTCGTTATCCCTCTCTCTTCTGCCCAATCAGCAATTGTAGGTTCTTCGGCTCAAGGAGTCTTCTCTTCGCACATGCCAAACAAAATCACCTTGGCATTTCAATGAATTTCTTGTATAATCGATTTTTCATGATTGCTTTGAAGAATAAACAACCTTTTATGATTCTTCTTGGGGAGGATGGCTATATCTATCTCCTCCTGAACACTCGTGAGAACTGCCGTGGGAATATGCTATCTGTGATCTGCATGGGTCCGAGCATTCCTGAGGACGAGGAGTTCTTATACGAGCTTAAAGCGGATGCCGGGGGAAGTTCGCTTCAGCTTAGGACCTCGGTGCAAAAGATGATTCAGTGGAATGGAGTTCATACTTTGAAAGCCTTCCTGGTTGTTCCAGACGGCTTCTTTGCTTCTAGTCGATTGTCTATAAATGTTCGCATCTATAAATAGTATTTTGTTGTAAGGAAAAAAAAGAAAGCAGGGTCAATTATGTAATATTACCTATGGACAAGGTGGTCATTGTTGAAGATGACTTATGTTCCATTTTATGACTACTTATGAGCCAACATTGATGTTGTACCTTACATATTTGTATTTCGTTTTTCACATTGCAATATCAATGCAATATCAACGCCTAAATAAATGTTGTGCGCTCTCAACCTATCCGCTTATTTGTCTCTTATCTGATATATGAGTCATACCTAACATATATATACTTCCGATTTCTTTTATATTAACAAGTGTAGCACCTAATTATGCAAACCGGTGAAGGTGGTCTGGCAACCGGCATTTATAAACATGCTACCCTTTTCTTATGTATTTACATATCTAAACAAATGGGCAAATAAATACATACCACCAAATTCTTATATATTTACATATCCAACTCCTAATTTTATTTTTTCATTTTTACATATCAAATCATTGGTATCATTTTACCATCTAGTTTCTAAGCATTGATATTTACAAATATAATTCTCAATTTTTAACCTCACATAAATAATACAACTAATATTTATGTGAAATCATATTTATTATGTAGAAATTTTAATATGAATGATAACTTATTTCAAATTGCTACATTTATTGAAACTATTTTGGATAAAAAATACTGATGAAATTACATTTATGTTAAGAGTTTGGGTGTGTATTATACCATATGTAATTACGAAGTAATACTAAGTATTTCGAATTATTTTGGGTTTAAATGTGATATTAACATATTTATAATTCTAATTCTAAGTGAATTTTTTTTTTCTTAAAGGAATGTATGTTCAAATATGAAGTTTGAGGTCAAGATGAGGAGATGCTAAGATTTGCAAATGAAATAGAGAAGAAGAGAGACGAGACGATGGAATAATGACAAGAATTTCAATTGCATCAAGCACCTCATTACTAGTGTACAAGATAAAATATATACAATAAGCAAAAAGACTAAAGTACCCTTTAAATAGAGTAAAATATAGAAATATAAAGACTAATATCTAATAGATAGCACTTGTCCCGTTCAAATGACTCACATTTATATGATATTTGCCCAACCCGAAGGATTAATACTCATATCACAGTGAAACTTTAGAAATGCAAATATAAAATTTTTGAGAGTAGATATGAAATAATACATAAGAATTGTGAGGCATACATTTAAAAAAATGCACATGATAATTAATACATAATACTAAAAAATTAGGAAACTAACATGAATGCAATTTTTTAAAAAATTAATGAGAAGGCTATAATTTTCTGATACCCGAGTTTACCCATATCACAGAGAAAAGTAAATCTTATTGTTGAAATTCAGAGGGACTACAACCAAGACTTCTTTAAACTGGAAATAAATGATAACAAACACAGTAACACTCTAGGGTGAGGGCAAAAGTGGCGGTGTTGACTGGTTAGGAAGTTGGTTGACTGGCTGGAGGTTGCAACCACATATGGAGGGAGGAATTGGGTTGTAATAGCACCTAAAGGGTATGTATGGAGGGAGGAATTGGGTTGTAATAGCACCTAAAGGGTATGGGTTGGTGATAATGACAAGCAGGTAGATCTGGGTTGTGACAACTACAGACAATTCCTGGAAGGCTTTACAACACTACAATTAGACAAAAGTAGCTTTACTACAGGGGAGAAGAGGGTGGTGGAGATTACAACAGAATTGTGAAAATTTTGTGGAGTTACGGTTGGATAGAGGGGCTAAAAGTGAAGTTACGGTTGGATAGAGGGGCATATAGCATAAAGGAGTCACTGGGGTAGGACAACGATAAGCAATCATGGGAGAAAGGAGAGAAAATGGAAAAATAATCACCACATCAGAGTAGGATATAGTCGAAGCACCACATGTTATGGATACAACCCTAGAAGAGAGAATGATACGTAGCAGTTGTCCTGACAAAATTCTCAAGCGAAAACTAACCCCAAAATAGAAAATAATAACTATATTTATAGTAGATAACTAGTTGGGACAGACCCCTCCGACCTTAACCCATCATCACAGACCAACCGGCCTTGCTCTCCTCTTGCTCTCCTCTTGCTCTCCTCTTGGCTGAAGTCGTTCAAATGTTCCTGCTAGTGGGTTTATAAATTTTATGAGCACACACTTCCCAACAACATAATAATTGAGTTGAACTGTCTTTAGGATTTGGAATCTCATATACTATTATTTAGGATCATTAGAAAATAAAATAAAATTATACGTATATAAATCGGCTGAAATTATTCCCATTTTCGTACGAAAGCTGCCCGCCTTTTTTTTTATATTATTATTTTCTACTATTTAGATAACTTCCATTTATTGCCCCGCATTCCGTTAAATTCTAGGGTTTCACTTTCATCTCCTCCCGATCCCGATTGCTTCAGGAGAACTTTGTCGTCCCGATCTGCTCGAGTTCCGTGTCTTCTTGACGCCTTTCTCTTATTCTCGTATCAGGCTGTCGAATTCTTGCGTTTCTTTTTTCTTTTCTTGGTGGAGCGTTGTCCGGAATCTGTATCAGGGTCCGAAACTTCTGCGTTCCGTGAGGGTGGGCTGGTGATGTTTACTCCACAGAGTAAGGGGGGCTGGGCCGGGTGGTCTTCCTCTCCGTTAATTGGCAGAAGGCGGGAGAATGGATCGGCGTTGCAACGGACGAATTCTGGTTCTGTTGGTGCTGTTCATGGCCGGGGTAAGGGCGCGACTGCGTCAGAGGCAACACCACCGCTGCCATCATCGTCTTTGCTGTCTGAAAATATTGCTGAGGTGATGGGTGGCAGTGATGTCTCGAAAGATTGTAAGAGGTTCGGGGAGTTGGGGCCTCTGGACGAGGGGATGTTATCTAGGGAGGACAAGGAAGAACTTTACGACAGGGTTTCTGCCCTCGAAAGTGAGGTTCGTGACCACGGGAGCTTTCAACTCCTTTTTTATCTTTTCTTATTTTATGCTATTTATAGAGTGCAGCTCTTGTCATAGTATAAGCGTAGCTCTAGATTTTTCTATAATTCTAAATATTATATGATGTGTTGCTTTGGTTCATTGTTTTCTTTGAATGGTAAATTATGTAATCTGTAAAGGGGCAGTCTTTTCTTGTCTTCTTAATTCTACTTAATATTTGAAACTGATGATTAGTAATATTTTAAAAACACGTGTGATTGTTTAGAAGTGGTAAATCTGAAAATAATTTTATTTATTATGATTGATTGAACTTGTGAGGAACAACGTATATGAATTTGCTGCCGGGAATTTCCTGGATTTCCATGTTCAAATGTGAATGTGATACATGAAAATTTCTACAAGAATGACAATGATTGCATTCAGTAGTAAGCATTTATGACTTTTGACGCTCGAGTAAATTGTTTTTTTCCTTATGGAATAGTTGAAGTAGTAGAATTGGTTATTTTATCCATGCTTTTGGTAGGCTATAGTTAGAGTATGTAACCATTTTCACTTTGATCATTTTCTAGTATCTAGGACCTTTGGTAATATGAATTTATTGTTGGCTTTTAACATTTCAATATTAATGAACTATATGTGCAAAAGTCGCATCTATTTTAAATTTTAAAGTATTGGAGGATTGTTTCTTTAATCACATGTAATGGTGAAAATTGACGCATTGTTTATTTTCCCCATGTTTCTTAGGAACGGAGCATGAATATAATACCATGTCCTGCATTTTGACATAATTCTATTATCTAAAATGTTTGGGTGACTGTGAAATTATTTATTTGGCCCTTAAGTTGTACATGTCAGTGAGGGCAAAGAGGTAGGCTTTGGTTATTGAAGGTTGGATGCTTGATCAGGAAATTGAAGGAAGTTGATGATTTAAAAGGGTTTTCTTTTAGAAGTGGCTTTTTGGACAATTTCCCTCTTGTTGTTGAGAACGTTTATGCCCTTCTCTCTCTTTTAAGATTGTTTCTTCTCTATTACTTTCAATAACTTGTTTGTAGCATTTGTTGATTTTGGGTTTAGTGGGCTGACAAGCAAAACTGATAACTCCCATTGTTAATTTAGTTGTAATTTAAAATGTTGTTGTGTATTGTTGCCATCATTTTTCTTTCTTCTCAAGTTTATATTTTCTCAAGATATTTGGCTAGCTTGGAGTGGTCTACGTGATTAGTCTGTCAGCTATTTTCCCTAGGGTGCTTGTGTGGATCTGTATCAATAGCTTTGGGCGCTTGATGCATTTGTGGGGTTAAGACAAAGATTTTGGACTGCTCCTTGAACAAAGTAACCATATGGGCAACTATGTCTTTTAAATTCATTATCATAGCTTTAGAGGAGCTTGATAAAAGATCCCCCATGCCCCGCTGTGTTTCTAACATTTGATTTTATCAAAGAGTTGGGTAAAGGTTAATTTAAAGTGCAACTGAGCCTCCCCTAGTTGATATAAAAGGTTCAATTGGTAGTTTTTAATTTTTATTGTGCTTTATATTGTGACAAAATGAGGGAAAAATGGACCTTGTTTTGGATATTTTGTTTTATTTTTCCTCCCCATACAATAATCCTGTCATTTATTCGAGGCCCTTCTGGCAATCTTTTTATTTGTATCTTCAAGAAAAATTATTCTTTTTAGTCATGGTATGGATGGAATTGTTTATCTGAATCTTTTATGTGAACGGCTGCGTTTATGCATTTTGATTTGGTAGTATGCCTAAAAATCTAAAATTCGCAATGTCAGATCATCTTGAAATAAAGTTATGAGAATGATTATGCTTTGGAAAGTATTAATAATTATCTGAGTTCACAGTTGATTAAGATTTTATCTTTTGATGCACCAACAAGTTCCTTGATTAACCCTACGCCCTTTATGATACTCCCTTTTATGTTATACCAATTATTTTCATGTTGCTAAATAGTTATTTAGTAGAATTGGTGCTTGGTGTTGTTTCACGATGTATTACCTGTCGTATTTAAGTCAATAGTACTAAAATCAATGACATTCCAGGGTTTTCAATGTTTAATTTTCACCATTTCTTTTACTTAAGCCTCTTCTTTTTACCATGATATATTTTTTATTGAAATTATTTTTACCCTAGCATGAGTTTTTCTTGGTGAATTTTTACAACCTTTCCTCCTAGCTTTGTGTAATTAGCTAAATTTCCTCATCTCTGTATTGTTCAATTATTATTTTATGTACATATCTATGCTTTGTTATAATGAAATTCACAATTTGGTCTTTTATAATTATGATATTTTATAGCAAAATTTCTTGTTCTAATTCTGTTTATAACTCCTTTTCACTGAACTTGTCTTCACTACAATAATTATTCGGCATGATTTTGGTGGTATGTTTATAAGTCTCCTTAATTATTATGATGTAGGGTAAGAAGTTTTTCTATTGTTTTGTCGTTAATTAAAAGTTTCAAGTTTTTTAAGCCCTGTTTGGTATAACTTTCTTTTTTCTATTTTTATTTTCATTCTATTTTGTTTTTGTTTTATTTTGTTTGTTTTCTGTTTTTAGAAAACGTGTTTAGTGCTATGATTTATATATTTTAAAAAATAAAAAATATAAAACATGTTGAGGTGGGTATTATTTATTTATTTATTTAAAGAAAAAAACTATACTTTTTTTTAAATAATTAATTTGTAATAACTACTTACATGTTAATTAATTAAAATTATTTAATTAATAACTACTAACATGTTAGTTAATTTAATTATTTAACTATTAAAATGTTAATTAGTTTAATTATTTAACATGCTAATTAATTTTTTTGGTGAATTATTGAAATTATTTAATTAATTTATTATTTTATTAAGTTAAGGTTTTGTTAAAGTGAAGTTTTAATTGTTTTAAAATTTTTTATAAGTTTATTAAAATTTCATGGATTAATCAAAATTTCAATTAATTTAATTTTATTTTAATTAATTCATTAATTAGTATTTTAATCAAGTTGTTTAATGTTTTATTTAGTTATTTATATATTTAATGATATGTTTAAATAATTTAAGGTTTTAATTTTATTATTATTAACTTAATCAGACGATTAATATTTTTTTAAATCATTATTGGTTTAATTTATTAATTATTAAGTTAATTTATTAGATTTATTATAAAATCGAGTAATTATGTATTAATTAAATCATTTAGGTTTCATTTAAATAATTAATGCTTTAGTTAGATGATTATTAGTTTAATTAATTATTTTATTAATTGGTTGAATTTACGTAATTTATATAATTCCATTGATTTATTAATGAGTTAATAAAGCAAGTTTAGGAGTTAATTAGTGGATTAATAGCTTAATTTGGTTATGTTAATTTTGTCCAATGATGATTAAGAAAATTTATGATTTTGGGGCATAGCTTTGAAAAAAATGTTTTTGAAACAGTGAAAACACAATTTCTATATTTTTATATTTTGAAATCACGTCTCGTGTTGTAAAAACACAATAATAAAAAAAAAGAAAAAATGAAATGCGAACATTATTTTTTTTTTCGTTTCTATATTTTGTTTTTCAAAAACAGAAAAATAGAAATAGAAAGTGATTCTAAAGAGGGCCTTAATTTCAACACAACTGTGTTTTTTTTTGTTATATTTGATCATTTTTCTTTCTTTCTTTTTTCTGGGAAAAATATTGCATCTTTACCTTAATTTTTTTATTAGAGTAACATTTTCTTTATTAATGCTTGTTATATCTATATGCATGTGATTTGTAAGTTTGATACTCTGCCCATTTCTGTGCAGCGTGATGAGTGCTTATACAACATGGGTCTTCTTCTTATTGAGAAGAAAGAGTGGTCCTCAAAGATTGAAGAACTAAAGCAAGCATTGATAGATTCACAGGAAATTCTGAAGAGAGAACAGGAAGCACGTATTTTTTCTATATCTGAGCTTGAAAAGCGTGAAGAAAATTTGAAAAAAGCTTTGGGAGTTGAAAAACAGTGTGTTATAGATGTATGTGAAAATTTATTGTTATATTCGAGCAAATAAAAATACAAAAGTCCTGATTTTTATCCTTCTTTGAATTTCAGCTTAACCTTTTTGTTTTATGTTCAGCTGGAAAAAACATTGCATGTGATGCGTGCTGAAATTGCGGAGACTAAATTTATATCAGATAACAGATTAGCTGATGCACGTGCAATTGAGGCTAGCCTTCAAGAGAAAAAGATGGAGATTGAAGCAAAAGTGCGAGCTGCAGATACTAAACTAGCAGAAGCAAATCGTAAGAATTCAGATAGTGAGCGAAAACTGGAGAATGTTGCAGCCCGTGAATCTAAAATTCAAAGAGATCTTTCTTCGTTATATGCAGAGTATGTGCTGAGCTTCATTATTTCATTTATTAGTATTTTAGTCAGTTTTCTAATTGGCACGTTTTTGGCACGTTTTACATTGAGTACCAGTACCTTTTTTTTTTTTGTTATTCTTAACTAAACCTTCATTCCAGGAAGAAAACACTTGAAACAGATGTCTCTAAGCAGAGAGAACATTTTCGTGAGTGGGAAGAGGATCTTCAGGATAAACATATTAGACTTCTTAATGAGCAAAGTCTTCTTAATGAGCGGGAGGAGAGGGCAAATGATCTGGACATAATTCTCAAGAAGAAGGAAGCAGAGATTGAAGATGCAAGAAAAAATGCTGATGCTGCTCGTAGTATTCTGAAAAGTCAAGAGGATGGTCTAAAGTTAAGGCTAAGGACTTTGACGGTTAAAGAGAAGGTTAGTTTTCCATCAAATCATATTTTGTAGCAATTTCTTGAAATGTGCCATGCATATTGATGGCTTTGCTCGTCTGCTAACTTATGATGCAGGATGTTGAGATCAAGAGTTCAAACCTCGAGAAGAAGGAGAAAGATCTGATGGCAATAGAAGAAAAGCTTAATTTAAGGGAAAATGTGAGTCTGCATTGTTTGGACATAAGAATGTTAAGATTTTAGGTATATTTTTTGAAAATTAATGGTGCGATTGTCTGTTCAATAGAGGCACATTATACCCTCAAGTAGCTGCAGTTATTAGTTTCTGTAGGCCTTGCTAGTCTATCAGGCAACCATGCTATAAGAATTTCCTCCTGAATATTTCAGTTATTTTGTGGTGTAGGTGCCGAAGTTATCCATCCTTCCTTTCACCCACTTGAATTTAACTGTTACATTTCCTTTTTTTTTTAATACTTCTTTTGTTGATAAATTATTTTTATAGTTTGATTGCATTCTCTTTCCTTTCGATGCATTATGATATGACTTTTTACTACTAGCATTAAGCCACTCTTCTTTTATGATAAGGTGTCATTTGATTTTCTGTAGATGGAATGTTGAAGATAATGACGTAATTTGCTAGGTTGTCTTTTGGTTAGATATTAAAGATCAAGTTTGATTTTAAATCCTCAAAACCCTAAAATATAATTCTTTCTTGTTCACTCATTAACGGGGGAAAGTAAAATCATGTGTTTTAAGCATATTTTGTATCTACAAGAATCCAAATGAGCTTAACTTGCTTTTATGATCTGTTTTTGTCCGCATTTGTCCCTTATATTTCTAGTCAATGCTATTCTGATTTAAATTTCTACTCGATGAACAGGAAGAGATACAAAAGCTTTTGGATGAGCACAATGCGACTTTGGATGCCAAGAAACGAGAATTTGAGTTGGAGATGGTGAAAAAACGGCAATCCTTTGATGAAGAGGTAAAAAATCATATTTCTTTGTTGGACAAGGAGAAAAGGCAAGTCAGATGCCAAGAGGAACAGCTTATTAAAAGAGAAGAGGCATTAGATAACAAAACTAATAAATTAAAAAGTAAAGAAGAAGATTTGGACACAAAATCAAAAGCTTTGAAGAAGTGGGAAGAGTCGTTGAAAATGGATGAGAAAAAGTTGCAAGAAGAAAGAAAGCGGCTAATCAAGGATTCCAATGAGCTAGAAGCTACTAGAGCTAAACTTCATAATGAGAAGTTGGCTATTGAAACTGAGGAACAGAAGGTTGTCGTGGAGAAGGAAAATCTAAGACTAACACGGGAAGAAAGAGAGCAGCATCTTAAATTACAAGAAGAGCTTAAACTAGAGAAAGATGAGTATCGGATGATGGCAGAGTCTCTTGAAAATGAAAAGGATGTGCTGAGGCAGGAGAAGGAGAAGTTTGAGAGAGACTGGGAGGTGCTGGATGATAGAAGAGCTGCAATAGAAGCAGAGGTTAAACAGCTGAGTGCTGAGAGAGAAAAGTTTGAGAAGTGGCAACATACGGAAGAGGAGAGGCTGAAGAAGGTTGACCTTCAGGCTAGAACTGCCTTGCAGAGGGAACTCGAAGATCTTAGATTGAAGAAAGAAGCATTTGAGAAGATGATGGCCCATGAGCGAGAAGTTGCTCATGCGGAAGTTGATAGGGAGCATGCTGACATGACTCGAGAATTTGATCTTCTTAAGCATGAGCTTGAGATGAACATGCAGAGGAGGCATAATGATGTAGAGAAAGAACTTGAAGAAAAGGAAAACAAGTTTGAAAGGTGGAGACAAGTGGAACTAAGTCGCATTAAATCTTTAAGCGAGTCAAATGATCTAAAGCGTAAAAGTTTGGATATGGAACAAAATCAATTGCAGATGGAAAAGGCAGCATTCACGGATCAGAGGGGAAAATTAGAAGCAGACCGACAAGAAATTCAGAATGACATTGATATTCTACTTCGGCTAAGCAAGAATCTGAAAGATCAACGGGAAGAATTCGCAAAAGAGAAAGGAATGTTTCTTTCTGTTGTTGAGCAATGCAATACTTGTCATAACTGTGGGGTTCCAATTTATAACATTGATCATCTTGATCTTCAGCCTTTGAAACCTAAAGAAAGTTGTGAAGAAATTATTTTGCCAAGCCTTGCAGATGGGTTTCTGGAAGAGCATATAAAAGGTAGAGATGCAGCTGTTTCACCTGGGGTTCAGGCTGTTGAGTCTACCAATTCAGGTAGTCAAATGACACGGTGGCTTCAAAGATGTGCTAATCTGTTCAAGGTCTCCCCTAAGAATGTACATGCACCTAGTGAAGGCCAGGTTGGAACCTCATTTGGTGAGCAGCTTGATAGCGCTGCTTTAGAGAATTCTGCTTATGAACCCTCTCCTTCAGCGAATCATTCCTTTGAACATCAGGTTCATTTTGATGGTGGAGATGGGATGAATGGACAACCAGGGAGATTACATAGAAATGGAGATGAGGCAGAATCTTCTTTTGGTGTGGCTGATAGTTCCAAAGATATTGTTAGGGTTAAAGATAATAGTAACCAAAAAAATGTGGTAGTTATTGATGATGAAAATAATGATATGCAGGGATCTTTTATTCATGCTGAGAATGATTCACAGCCTGAACCATCCAAGCAGGGGCAGCGACGTCAGCCCAGTCGGAAAGCAAAAGCCAATCTCATTCGGAGAACTCGCTCTGTAAAGGCTGTTGTTGAAGATGCCAAAGTTATTCTTGGTGAAAGTTTTGAGTTGAAGATAGATGAGCAACAAAATGATGATGGAAAAATTTTCCAAAACATTCCTGATGAGAGCCAAGGGGCTTCAGTACAAGCTGATCAAGCAGAAACAAGAACAAAGAGAAAAAGGAGCTCGAAGGAACTAGAGAAAGAAGGAAGTGAAGCTCATTCTGAAAGTGTCTCTCGAGGGCGGCACAGTAAAAGGCGACAGACTTCTTCTCTACTTCCAGCCGCTGCAGATAGGCGCTATAATCTTAGACGTTCTACTGTGTAAGCATTTTCTATGCTTTTTAGGGAATTTACGTACATGCCATACTATTCTTATATATTTACATATCTAACACCCAAATTTTGATATTTACACTTATGATACCTTGGGTCTTAAACTTATGCATGAAAATCTGTATTTCACTTTTAAGAAGATAGTTATAGAGATAATTTTGATGCGATGTTAAAAATTTGAGTGGTATGCAGATAAATATGTATGTTTAGGTGTTAGATATGTAAATACATAAGCAATATGTAATATGCTTACCCTTAATGACATGCAATATTGCTATTCGTGAAACTATTACCACCATTTAAGATTTCTCCAACTCCTTGAGGATATTTTATGTCCATTGTAGTGCATGATATCTGTCCTAGTCATCGTTACAAGTTTACATTTAAAGTGATGTTGAAGGCTGTGCTTGGATTGGAGGAATGTAAAGGAATGTAAAGGAAATTTCAGTCTCAATAATTTATGTATTTATCATGAGTTTGCATGGATTGATTTAAGTTTTTTGATCCCCTTTTTTAATTTCCTTGTACTCGAATTCCAACCACCCATAATCTTAGGGTCTGTTTGGGACAGTTTTTTACCTATTTTGCATTTCAAACTACCACCAAAGATCTGTTTAGGGAACTGCTTTCTAGAAATTTTGTTGTAGGAGGCTGCATTTTTCAACCCGACTTGTTAAAGTTTGTTAGTTGTTAGAAAGTTGCTGTCTGAATTTTTAGAATAAGTTATATATTTATAATTCCCATTACAGTTTTTTAAGAAGTTATTTTCTCCACCATAGCCTTATAATCATTTTTTAAAAAAATTGCAGCCTCCCCAAACAGACGCTTTGTTGAATGTGTAATTTTTCTATTTCTTCTTAATATGGGAGCCCTTTATATGTGCCATTTATACTATTTATGCACAATTATTCATTTTATGGATGTTATGTTTGCCTGCTTATAATACCAGATTAAATGCTAAAGGTATGGATCACTAGTGCATTGCAAAAACTTCTTTTGGCAAAATCTGACTGTTCTATTTTGAATTTTAGGCAGTGATTGGTTAATTAGCATTTTTAGTTGTCCTGTACAATTCTCTTCAGTGTTTTACGCATTATTATTTTTTTTGGGTGAAATACTATGTTGTAAATGTTTATGTTAAGAACATGTAGTCAAATGTCCAATTGTTGTGTGCAAGCTTTGTTGACCAATAAAAGTTTGTTTGGTTCTTCAAAAAAATGAAGAAAAAGTAATTATTAAGTAATAAAAATTGTTTTTACTAGATTCTTTGATTTTAACACATATTTTTTTGCTTTTTATTACTTCAGTTATTCACGTTGTAGGCTTTGGTGTGATGCATCTGTTAATTTTTTTATAATTATTTTTAAGTTCTTTAATTTTAGCCTTTTATTTAACTTGGTTGATTACTTTATTTCTGTAAATTTGTGGTTTGGTAATTATCCCGTCATTCCCTGAATTCCTGACCAGAGTGTTACCTTTACCCCTGATGAAAATACAGAAAAATGTCTTTTATAACTTTAGTACTACCTTTCATTGTGAAAATCTTCACGTGGCAATAGGCTTTGAGGATCTCTATTTTTTCTGGCGTATATATAAGGAAGATGGAGTCAGGCTACATATTTGTTCAGCGCAAGAATACAGTGTTGATCTCTTGTTAATCCTATAGCTTTGGTACAAAATATCAACCGATACTGCAAATCTTAATGATTTCAGCATATTGGTTTAAAAGTAGAATAGATTGAATTTATGCTGATTTTGGTTTCAGCATTCCTTAAACAATGTTCTTGTGAGCCATTTATCCTCTTTTTTTTTATTTTCCTGGGTAGGAGTTGTCATCAAAACATGCCAGCAAAATTTGAAGGTTCAATTAACTTGGATTACTTCTGGCGGCACAGCATTTTATACTATATATCTGTAGATTAAGGAATTGAATTCTCATTATTCACATTAGAACGGTTTTAATAGAACTTTAAATGTAGTCTCATGTTGTCTAACACCGCTAATTATAACTTGTAGAATACTTGTCAATCATAATCTCGGCACTTGTTGTTATTCATTTCACAAAGATTAGTATTATTCAACCCAAATTTTAAGTTGATGCATTTGAATTCCTGAAAGAGCATGGAACGCCGACAAAAAACATGTTAAAATAGTCCCCCGACTTTTTGTAGTGTGTAATTTTAGTCCCACTATTTATGCAAGGGTCAGTTTAGTCCCTATACTCTTTTAATATTGGGCTGAAATAATCCCCACAGAGGACTAGTTCAGCCCTAATTTAAAGAATCTGGGGACTAATTTAACACTTATATAGACTTTGAGACTAAAATGGTCCCATCAAACATTCACAGTACTATTTTGGCACTCTACTCGTGCCAACAATACAAACAGATATCTTGTGCCATGTAGTCAAATAATGGCTTGTGTTTACCTGTCTGGCAATACTTCTAACCTTGGTTTCTTTTTTTTGTCATTGATTAAAAAAAACAAAGCTTGATTACATCCATTTCACATGAATTTGACTTCCTGCATTCGTTTCAGTGCAAGTACAGCTGCAGCATCCCAGGCAACATCACATCAGAAAGAAGCATCCAATGTTAGAAAGCTTAAGACAATGCCTGAAAACATTATTAGGGAGGGTGGATACGGTGGTGAAAGAATTTCCGGCCATGATCGGCAACAATCACGCCCTTTGGAAAACTCTGCTCATTTGCCGCCTAAATCCGCTAATTCAAATGTCCTGAAAGTTAATTCTAAGGACACAGTTCAGGTATATTATTGTAATTAGATCAGTTAACCCTGTGTTTTTTTGTTGGAAGATTTACATATATACCACTCAATTCCAATGTATTTACATATCTAACACCTAAACTTCAATTTCTTACACATCTGAGCAATTTTCTTTGTGATTTAGCAGCATGAAGACCAGGAACTCTATCACGATGCTGCTGTCCTCGAATCCACCCAGTTCAGCGCTCAGACTGCCGAAGAAGGAGACGAAGTAGATGGAGCTTCTCCGCCACGTGACTTGGAAAATTCTAGTTCAGATGTGGAGAGTGAGAGTGATGATATGGATAAGCACAATGCTTCAATCGGAAAGAAGCTATGGAATTTTCTCACTACTTAATGTGCTATTGAGCATGTAGTCTCCTTACCTTATGACTCTGATTTCTTTTCTTTGATTTTTTTTTTTTTTTTGGCTTCCCTCATTAAAGGCAATTTTATCAGTGATTTCTGCATTGTTTCATATTTGCGTTTCTTTCTCTTTTTATGCCAGTTGAACTGTTGGTGTTAATTGCTGGTTTTGACTTTATGTAGTTAAACAGTCGGTGCTTTGGAGCGAATGACCATAAGGTGAGTTAAACGATGATGTAATTTAATGTAATGATCGAATTCTGGATCATGTATTATTCCCCCAGTCATGATGTATTCAAAGAATCATGTAATTGAGTATTTACAAATTTGTTGGCATTATTTCTCTCTCGTGTCATGACACGCTCCACATGCAAAGTTGTTTACTCATTTACATGCATAAGGTTTGAGAAAAAATACGTTTTGTCATGCATAAGGGGGTATGTGTAAAAATTGAAGTATACATGGTAGATATTTAAATATATAGAAATTGATTGGCATGCATCTAGATCTTCCTTTTTTTTTATATATATTTTATTTAGCAGAGCAGAGTTGTGTTTTTCTGTTCTAAAAATGCAGCAGGTTCTAAATTGCAAATCTGCTGTACTTAATGCTGGCCTAAGTAAACGACTTCTTAGCTCTATCCCTCTCTACCTGTCTGTGGAATTCTTTAAATATGATATTGGGTATAGAAAACATTATGCTACATGTAAATTTCGAAATAGGTCATTATTAGTATCATTATTACTATTATTATTATCTTGAACAATATATTTTAAAGTTTTATTTCAAACAAATTTATCCTCTTTATCTGCATATTGCTTATTAAAGCTGGTTTCTGAGAACAATTGATTTGAAATAGGAGTTGTTGAAATTGCTTATTAAAAGCTTAGTTGTGCAGCACAGCTATGTGGCCACATCTGGATCCTTATCCGGACTAAATGATATGCCACACGTTATTTTCTTTTCCCCAGTGGAGGCTCGACGAGACCGATGATGTGAGATGGATGGAGTTCTCAAGGCTTAAACAATAGAGTTTGAACAAAGATGTAAATCTTTGCCAAAACACTTTTTATTTATGTATTTATTGCAATAGGTTTTAACAGGTAGTCATGTTACAAGATAAGTAATTGTGACCTAATTTTTTTTAGTATGTTTTTCTGAGAAAATAAATAATGAACATATCCTGTCAAATTTAACTTGTATTTTATATCAAAATGAATGAAAAAAGCTTTTTTAATTATTATTTTTTTATTTAGTGGCAATTAATAGGGCACAATGGAGAAAAATGATTCATTCAGCCATCACTTAGTGGGATAAAACCCTTTTTAGAAATCAAATAATATTTAATAGAATTACAAAAAAAAATCCCTATTTATAATTGCCAACTAATGTGTCACATATTAATATGTCAAATATTAGATTGTGAGGGATGTATGGACGCCATTGAGCTCTATACGAGAAACTGTTGCCGCCTTTCTTCATGCTATGAGGAGAAAAACTTATGATATTAGACTAGGACAGATTGGATCTTAAAAACTTATGATATTTAGTATCAACCTGAACCCAAGCTTCCAGCTGACTGACCACCTAGGCTGGCCGACCATTATGGCTGGCCATCGCCCTTCAGGTAATTAGTGGGCCACACATGACTAATTGGCTGACCAAGGATGGTCGGCCGATCAACCAGTTCAAACCGAGCATAACATTCAAGCTTGAATGACTTTCCTACAGCAATGGTCCCCCCGACATCCAGGCGAAATAACCAACACCATCTCGACCTACCAAAGGAAGAATCTGTAGGGTGAAGGATCTGGAGAACAACAAAAGATGCCAAAATCATTTACGAATATGAAAAGACGATAATATCCTATAACCATCTCATAAAAGCAGGGGTAAAAATGTAATTTTCTTATTAGCGACCAATTATCTTCTATAAATAGGGGGTTCACTACATGTAAAGGGGGCATTTTGGTTCTTGAATCTAGACCCAATTTCTAGAGGGATTTTCCCTCCTCGACTCTGTAATCACTCTTTTTATATAAAATGATTCATGAAGCTCGAAAATACCCCGGTTAGCCCCTTTGGGGCAAGTCTGTGTGTGCTCTTCCTCTCTCTATATATCTCTCTTCTTATCCCCTCTAGTTTCCACAACTCTAATCCTTTAGCATACCTCATTGGACATAATTGAATTCAACGTTCTAAAGGGAGCGATGAACATGAAATATGTCGTCAACAAGAAAGGAAGTGAAACCAACGAGAAAAAAATACATCCCAAAAATACCCTTGACAGGGAGCGTGGTAAGGATCTTCTTACTCAACAGATCTAGAACTTGAAGCATCATATTTCCGTTGTTTTCCTGGAAGGCCTTAACTATGAGGTGAATACTGCAAAATGAATGATAGACTATTTAAAACATCCAATTGAATGCATTATAATCAACACATCACCCGGATGATTCTAGGATGCTGAGACCAGTTTATTTTCAACATTTGAGTCGTCTCTGAATGATCCCTTGGGAATGGAGTACATGGCCACAAATTCTCTTGGGTCAACATATTTCATGTCACCAAACCCGATCGGACGAACTGGTCGATCGCCGTCAGGCTACCAACTCGAAGGTTCTCATCCAAGAGCTTCTCTTGTCTGGAGTGGGATGGAAGCGACACAAACAACTCCTCGATCTTAATGGTAGACTTTGCTCTTTCAATTCTCGATCTTCCTTCTCGACGATTGAAAATAATTCTGAGACCACGAAGAGTTATTCCTCGCCCACAACAAGTTTTTTCTCGACCACCACGAACTGCTTGTTTGCCCTTTGAGTAAGCCCGACAAAAACCTCAACTTGTTTCACAACAACGACCTATTAGCCTTAGCACGACCCAAGGCTATCGAGTAAAGGTGCGCACCCTCCCATACCTTTAAGTGGTACCGATCAGCCTTCTTATAGATCCGACGGCTCCAAATTCCAAATGGATTTTGTGAATGTTTGTGATTAGATAACTTCCAAAAACGTGGAAGGGTAGATCTCGATAGATGGAGAGTTATTGAACCAGTCAATTGACCGGTCGATGGTGATGAAACGACCATCCGAAGAATTTCAAATGTGTCCCTTACCCCTGAGAAGGAAACTAGCCGGAGGGAGAACTCTTCCTTTAGTTTTGGGATAGAAGTGGCGGGGGAGTCGACTCCACAACTGGCTCTTTGTCTTCACAATATTGAGCCTCCTCTAGAGTTGCCATCTCGGGATTGGTCTCAGATTTGATCCACTCGAGAGTCGTCGATTGGCTGGCCTTGCTACTGCGGGAAGATCGAAAAATGAAGCTCCATGGGTAGGAGCAGCCGCTTTTCTTCCTCTTCTCCAAAAGAGTCTTCCTTATCATAACCTTCCTCGGGCCGTCCGGACGACCCTCCAACTTCTTGGCGACTGGAAGGAGCTGCATCTAGAAGATAAGTATCGAAGTTAACATGGGTCTTATGCTTCATGGCGATTGCAGTCAATTCTCCGATTGAAATTTGTTGAATTACAATCGTATTTGCAGAAATAGAAAAAAGGGAATCCTCGCCTACTGTGCTAATTTTTTGCACGGTGCTTTAGTCAGCCTACCTTTAGCCACCAGTGCTTCCTGCTCGGCCTCATTCGCCTTGGCTTCGACCTTAGCCTTTTTCTTAGTCATTCGGGCGGCTACCTACTTTTCCCGTTGGGCCTCTACAACAACTGTGTCGGCCCATAACTCCACCATCATGCGACCAGAAACTCCTGGAAATGGAACCCTATTTACGATCACCAGCTCGATGTACTGGGGAACTAAGAGCAACTTACCTTCAATATCAGCCCCCTTAACCCGAGAGTGGTCAGTACTTTTCTTCTTCTAGAAAAGGTCACCAAATAGAATTGTGTTGCGCCCCTATCCTCAGTAGACGAGGCAATGAAGAAAATGTGCTTCCAATCCTTGACTTTATTCTCTAGGCCGACAAATTGGAATCGGCTGGTTGTCCCGAATTGGACATAACCGTCTAACTCCACGCGAAATGAGAACATGTCGCTAAACAGGTCGAGAATCACGAAATGCTATTCAACGATAAAAGATAGCATAAGCCATGATCGCCGCCACGGAGTTCGGCTTGATCTGCTCAAGGATGACCCCATACTGGTTAAGAATGGCTCGTAGCTCTTGGCATAAAGACAGCCACAAACCATATCAAAATTGATCTCTCAATCTATCAGGTCATTCCCATATCTCCCGATCGCCCTCTCATCTAGACAGGCAGCCCTCAACCTGATGGCTGGATTGAAAATAAAGTTCTCTTCAATAAAGGCGACATTCGATTGTGATAGAATAGAACGTTTGGCCCCGACCACCAAACCGAAGGTCAGGCGAGTTCTTTTGGGAGCCATCCAAACACCAAAGAAAAGAGCAAGGAAAAATAAAATGAAACGCATAAGGCAGATCGAGAAATCAGAAAGGAAAAAATGAGAGGCGCGCTCATGGGCCCCTCAACCTTCATATATTAGAATTCAACGGAAGCCTGAGCACCATCGAGAAAATCAAGAAAATGTCTTATCAACATGAAAATCGAGATTTGCAAAAACAAAATATTTTATTTATTATAAAAGCATGATAATATATGGACTTAGTTCGATAGAAAGTATTTCACAAGTTGGTCCTTGACAGCCTCGACTAACCAGCCACATGTATAACATTTGACCGCCAAGCTTGAATTGATTCACTTGGTAGGCCTTAGGGTAGACCCTCTAAACGAGTGCATCTTCCCTAAGTTCAGGGACCCAACTTAGCTCGCAAGTCTTCATCCCACAGGTCCATAATCACCCCCAATTCTTTCAAGGGACATAATACGATCCTGGGGACATCTAACGTCCCTTAAAAGTTTCGCCTCACACTTCCTCAAGTTTGGTCGGCGATTGGTTGCATCGTCTTTGCTAACAATCGTGCCCAGGGAACTGGATTTGCCCTCAAAACTGGATCTCTGTCACCGCACCGACCGATAATTAACCGACGCGAGGATGCTATCTAAAAAAAGAAAAGTATCCAGCAAACATGAGACAACTCAAACAAAGAATAAAAAAAATGGGAGAATTATTTAGCCAAGATCTGATTCACTTCGAACCAGGTTGCTCTGCCCATGTTGCAAGACAAAAAGTCATCTATCGACCACTTCTCATCAGCCAGGAGGTCATCTCTGCCAACTCGTTGAGTATCGACTGGAAGGAAAACGTTCGCGGCATCCGCTAAATTCACGCCTCGGATGGAGATTTTATTGGCAGATCAGCTGCTAAACACCCAGCTCCTCCCCAGTCTTAGGCTAAACCTTTGTCGGTATACCACGAATTGAGTCAAATGACTCCTCCACCCTCACACCTTTGGTCGGCTTCAACCTCTTTGCCAATTTCTTTCTTAACGGCTTACCTTCAAGATGGTGTGATCTCATCCTAAGGGCAGTCAACATCCTAACTTTATTGACGGATTTTAGTGCAAAGTCGGATCCTTTCACGATGAAAGAAAAACAAATGACAAGCGAGAGCCAAGAAAAGAAAGAAACTCAAGATGATAAAGTTACCCCCTTGCACCCAATATATAAAAGGTTCATGGGACTATTATAAGATTCATTTTATTGAATTTAAAAATTTTCTTGTTCTTATCGTCGATGTCCCTATCAAGGAACAAAAAAATTAAGGAACTTAATATGTACACCAAAAAATGGTTTGCACAAATCTCGAAGCAGTCTGACGAACTAGATCGAATGCTAATGTTTGGTCGCATAAACCAAGGCCAATTGGACAACCTAAGGTCAATCGGCCAAAGAACCTCTTGGCCGACCGAAAGCAGACAATCATGTATGGCAAAAAATGTGAAAATTTGTGGTTTTTCAATCTACTGTCTGAAACCCAACCTTCCAGCCAATCACCCACCTTGATCGGCCGTCAACAAGGGGTCGGTCGACCACCTAAGGTCGGTCACCACCCTTCAGGTAACCAGTCAGCCATTCTTGGTAGATCACCCAGATCCAACTGACCACTACATTCAAACCAGAACGACTTCCTAAAGCAATAGTCACCAGACATCCAGACAAAATAGCCAGCCGACACCATCTCAATAGAACGAAGGAAGAATTCGACGAGTGAAGTATCCGGAGAGATAAAAAAACACCAAAATCAATTACGAATATAAAAAGACAACGATGTTATGTAAGTCCCTCATAAAAGCAGGGGTAAATATGCAATTTACTTCTAGTTAACCCTCTATAATCTATAAATAGAGGGTCCAATTCATGGGGGATTTTTTATTATTGATCTAAACCTACTCTCTAGAGAGAGTAATCCCTTCTTCTCATCTCCATAATATCTCTTTTTATATATAAAATGAGTCACAGAAGCCGAAAAATACTGTATTTCGCCCCACGGGACAAGCCTGTGTCTTCCTCTCTCTATATATCTCTTTCTCTCCCAACTAGTTCCTACCGCTCTGACCCTTGGGCATGCCCCACAGAATATATTTGGATTCAACACAATGAGAATCACACTAGCACAAGTACGGCAAGAATTCATCCCAAAAAACAACGGCTCAATTAAATTATACATGAACAAATTCTCAATTGTAAATACTCTCACCAATATTTCTACTCTCTTCTTCTCATTCTTACTCCCAACATCCGTAAATTTGTGTGTGAACAAAAAAAAAATCCAATTAACCTCCAACATAAAATTGTCACAAAAAATCACAGATTCTTTTATATGAAGTAGACAAAACTAAAATAAACAAAGGCACAGAATCAATCGTCAGCTCATACCTTATTCCATACCACCTCTTGGGCCATCACTCTTCACATTCGGAGGCATAATTACCGCAAGAACAACAGTGCCACCAAGAACCACAAGCAATATCCCCAGAGAATTCACCAGAAAAGCCTCAGATGAATACCGAGAAATCACATTGTTCATCTGGAGAAATGTGGCCTTCTCTAAAAGACCAGTAGAAACTGTAGCAAGAGCTAGCGCATATATGTACAGGCCAAAGAAGACATGCCATGGAAGCAAGAAGTTTCTGCTGCTCCTGGAGCCCCCCGGATACCAGAAAGTGGCAAAACCAGCAATCCACTGAATAAAAAACAAGCAGAAGACGGTTCAATCATGGCAAAAGAACGACGGAATAAAACAATATAGAAGAATTGTGAGTTGAGGGAACATGTCCGTGTCAAAAAGAGCTCATTTTTCATGGACAGCTAATATTCGGCTTGTTAAGTTGCTCGTGTTAAATTCGTTTGTTAGGCAAGCAAGCTGCAAACAAATGAATTTTTTGAGCTCTATTTATAAAGAAGTCAAACATAAATTAATTTTTATTAGATCATGCTTGGCTCATTTTAGCTTGAATTAAATAAATAAACACTTATTATAACCTTTTAATATCAATTTTTTATTTCATTTAAAGAAAAATATAAAATAAATTATTTTTTTAAATTAATCGAGCTAAATTCGAGCCGAACACAAGCTGAAACAAGCAAATGAATTCAAATCGAGAGGAACACAAACAAAATATTCACGAGCAATCTTTAACAAAAAAAATTTTTGAACGAGCCGAATATGACCAAATTGAGAAATTGAATTTGCAAAAGTGAAGAAGAATTGAATCAACAGTACATGAATTAAGGTTACTGGTAAAGGCAACAGGAAAACCTCAGGTACCATAAGTTTCCAAAACGCTTTTGTCTTGATAATAGAGTCGAGTACAGGAGAGCTATGTAAAGACAACGGTTTTATTAGGGTGAGAGTGGAGAGCACGTGGCAGGAGAAAATGGCATAGGTCTCTTACTCCCCCTCAAACTGACAATTAGATTGACCAAGTGTGAGTTTGCTTCTAAGTCGATTAAACTGAGAGGGAGTATGGCTTTTAGTTAAAATGTCGGCTATCTGATCTTGAGAATATATGTGAGAGATTTGAATTTCACCAGTGAATATCTGATATCGTAGAAAGTGATAGTCCATTTCTACATGCTCGGTACGAGCGTGGAAAATTGGGTTGAGAGCTATAGCAATTGTAGAGGTGTTGTCACGATAGACGGGTGTTGGTGTGGTGAGGGAGAGTTGAAATTCTTGAATGAGTTGACGAAGCCATAAAATATCTATAGTTGCTGCGGCGAGAGCCCAATATTCGGCTTCAGTAGAGGAGCGAGCTACAGTTTTCTGATGTTGTACGGTCCATGCTATGAGATTGTTGTCGAGGAATGCACAAAAAACAGAAGTAGAGCATCGATCAGTTGAGTCACCAACCCACTTAAGAGTTGGAGTAGCTTGTGAGTTGGAGGTCGCCTCGACTAAGGGGGAGACCAGAGTTGAGTGTGCCTTGAATATATCAAAGGAGACGTTTACGAAAAGTGGTAGAGGGAATGTTGGTGCATGTGTTGGCATAGGTAGTTCACAGCAAAAGCAATGTCGCGACTAGTTATAGTCAAGTATTGGAGTGAGCCTGCAAGTTGGCGGGATTGGGTTGGGTTGGGATATGCTTGTAGGGAGTTTGCATCAGGTTGAAGTTTGAGTGGCAATGGTGTGTGGACTGATTTACAAGTAAGCATATCAAGTTGTTGAAGAAGGGACATGATGTAGGAGGTTTGGGTAAGATGGTAGTCATTGGGTATGTTTTGTATGGTTAAACCGAGAAAAGTGGCAACAGACACAAGGACTTTAAGATTGAATTTTGTTTAGAGATTAGAAATGAGTTTTGATAATTTTGGTTTGATTGTTACATGTGAGGAATATGTCATCTACATAGACAAGAAAATAGATGATGATTGACAGATTTTTGTAGATGAGGGAGGATGGATCTACGGTGCTCATAGTGAATTCATGGTCTTTGAGGTAGTTGATGAGAGAGTGGTACCACTATCTAGGCGCTTGTTTAAGCCCATAGAGCGCCCTTTTTAGTAAGCATACCTTGTGGGGGTATTGTTGATCACGAAACCCTTGTGGTTGGGACATGTAGATGGTTTCCTCCAATGAGCCGTGGAGAAAAGTGTTGCTGACGTCTAATTGACATATTTCCCACTGATATTGGAGGGCAATGCTGAGAAGAATGCAAATTGTGGGTTGTTCGGCAATGGGACAAAAGGTGGCCGTGTAATCAATTCCTTCAAGTTATTTGAATCCTTGAGCGAAGAGGCGTGCTTTATTCTTAGACACAGTTTCATCTGAGTTGCATTTGGTTCAAAAGTTCAACTTGCAACCAATAATGTATTGGCGAGGTGGTGGGTTAACCAATATCCACGTGCCTTGTGGTTGGATGACTTGAAAGTAGAGTAGCATTGCTAGTCTCCCGTGTCGATGCTTAACCGCTAGAGTATAGAAAGTAAGGCCAGGGGCTTGGGAAACTGAGGTATGAAGGTTAAAAGGTTTCTTGAGTTTAAGAGATCCAGTTTTAGATCTAGTAGTCAAGGGATGCGTTGATGTGAGGAGTAAGGGGAGGAAGCGATATCTGTTGTAGTGGTGGGTTCAGGATGGTTTAAAGGTGGTGGTTAAACCATAGAGAGTGGAGAGGAGTGATTACTTTCGGGAAGGATCGGTGGGGTGTTGTTGATGGGTTTGAAGGCAGTGGGAGTGAGCAGTTTTGGGGGAATGCTTTGGGATGGTATAAGCGATGAAGCAGTAATTGGTGCGGTAGAGGAGTAATGGAAGTTCTGTTTGTTGCAGATAACATAACGAGAGACTATGACTCGATCAGTTTGTGGATTGTAACAATACTATCCTTTGTGAGAGGTGAAATACCCAACAAAGATGCAGGGTGAAGTTGTGGGGGATAGTTTGTTTGGAGTTTGTGGTTTTTACCAAGGGAAGCATAGGCAGCCAAAATACGGAGTTGAGAGTAGGATGGTGTGGTGCAATGTAGGATTTGGCAAGGAGATTTGAGAGCGATGATTTTGGAGGGCATCTGGTTGATAAGGTAAGTGGTAGTCATGAGGGCAGCGGTCCAGAATTTTTGAAGTAAATGAGCAGTGAGAAGTAGAGTTCTAGTTGTTTCAATGAGATGACGTTGTTTGCGTTCAACGACCCCATTCTGTTAAGGGGTTTGAGGGCAACTGAATTGGTGGATGATGTCGTTATGTACAAGATAGTTTTGCAGAGTATGAGAGGTGAATTCGCCCCCTCCATCGGTTCGGAGGATTTGATGGATTTGTGAAATTGATTTAGAATTAATTTGTGAAATGATATAAGTTTATGAGTTGTTTCAGATTTAGCAGACATTGGAAACACCAAAAGTCATCAACTATAGCCATAAATGAAAGCACTAGGGATAAGGCCCCAAACATCAACATGAACAGTTCTGCTACGCTTTGATTTTGTTGTAGATAGAGAAAAATATAATCTATGACTCTTTGAAGAGTACATGCATTGCACAAAAAAAAGAAGTATGTATAGGTGTTGTAGTTGTTCGAGAGATAGCTTTGATGGTAGCTTGATGGCGTGGCTCGAAGCGACGAAGGTGGAGATGGGATAGAGGTCGTCTTTGCTAGGTCCTTGGAGCAAGATTTTGTATGTCTCCTAGTTCTTGATAACAAAATCAGATTTATTAAAAATGATATCACAATTGTTGTTGAATGTTAGTTGATGAACAGAAAGAAAATTTCGGGTGAGTTGGGGAGAGTGTAGAAGTTGAGGGAGTTGGATCTTACATTGAGGGGTTGGTAGGATGCCTTTATCTGAGTGAGAGATGGAAAGGGTTGATCTGTTGACTATGGTGCAGAGTTGGAGCCAGTGTATGGTGTAACAAGTTGAAGGTGGTCAAGATTAGATGTAAGATGGGAAATTGCGCCTGAGTCTAGCAGCCATTCTTCGGTTGGGTTAGCAGTGGAAGTGAGGAGAGCAAAATTGTTTGCCTTCAAGAGCTTGTGAATTTAGGATTTCCATGTAGGATAGTTGTCAGTAGTGAGTTGGATATGGACAATGTTCTTAATGTTTGACATTAGGAACTTGAGAGAGGGGGTGGGTATTTCGGCCATACGCGGTGCAGGGATGAGTAAGCTAGGGTTGGTGGTTGAGGAAGAATCAGACATTTGAGGAGGGAGAAGGGTTTTTAGCACAGAAGAAGTAGAGGGAAGAAAGAAGAGGAGATTTAGGATGTGAACCTAGTCTCTAATACCATGAGTGATTGAATCTACAGTAGTGAAGAAGCATTGAACCAGCGGTAAATGGAATTAAGGTTACTGGTAAAGGCAACAGGAAAACCTCAGGTACCATACATTTACAAAATGCTTTTGACTTAGCATTAGAGCTAAGTACAGGAGCCTTTTATATATATATATATATATATCCCTAGAAGAGCAGATTGCAACCGACGCCATATATATATATATAGAAAGCCCAAAGGCTAATATTTTAATTAAAAAGAAGGATACAGATAGATTGTGAGGGAGGGCCCAAGCATGACACACTGTCCACACGATAACCATAAATGATTTCAAAATGAGAAAATACAGAAAAATACATGAGACCTAAAGAAAAAAACCAAAAAGTGTCAAAATACGTAGTATCAAGTAGCTAAGAGTGACCTCATTTTGTCTTGACGCTGCCTCTAGGGAAGGAGCCAACTAATAAATTGGTAAGATGAGTGTCATTGCGAGTAGAAACCAATGTATCATCTAATAGGTTCCCGAGCTCGAGCCAGCCTCTATTCTTCTTTTTCCTCCTTCTGGAATAGACCTATCATTCTCCATCCGAAGATTGGCTTACCTGATCAGTGGATTGGTCAAAAGTGTGTCGAACATGTGTAAGTTGTTGAACATTGGAAGCAACTATTTCTTGTATCACCTGATCTTTTATTGGATCAAAGGTGCACTCTCGTGTGTCTTGGCATATAAGTGAGTCTTCTTCATAACAGTGGGTGGTAAAAACACGGTTGGATTTGTACTTGTAGTATGATGTTCTTTATCAAAAACTGCGGTGTTGGAAAGATGATCGGGTTGCATCTTCTCAACAAGGATGGTATGTAGCTGATCTTTAGCGATATCCGACCTTAGATGAGGATGCAAGCAATAGCAAATAATAGAATTGTAGCCAAACATACTACAATGAGAGCAATAAAGAATGTGTGGTTCTATTTCAACCTTTTGCCAACACCCGTTGTGAGTGGTTCCAATTCATACCCCATCCAGAGCTGGTTGAGTGATCTCTCACAACTAAAACACAAGCCACAGAGATTCTGGTGACAGCAAGCGTATGACTATCAACCTTGAGAAACTTACCGTAAACAGTTGCTAAGGAGTAGAGAATTTCCAAGTTGAACAGATGTAATTTTAACCCCAGAAAATTTATCCAAACAGGAATGGTAGGGGACTCCGCTTTTAAATCAAAATCAACAGTCCACTTCAGAATTTTCATATTACGGTTGTCGATCTTGATAACTTTTCGAGAAAAAATGTGAGTGTAATCGGCATCGTGAGATAACTTATGTCGATCGTGTCGATCGTCAAGTAAACCAATATTTCAACTGTCCAACAACCTCATAGCATCAAAATCTTTCCGAATGATCTCAAGTTTTGGGTGACCATAAAGAAATTTCTCCACTAGAGCAAAATGCCAAGAAGAAGCGAGAGTACTGGTTTCAACCTCTGTGAGAATAAGAGCAGGTTCCCCATTTTTTTACCAAGTTTATTAATGAAAGTATGATCACCACCACCTTCAAGAGCTTCATGGAAAGATTGTGAAACATTGCAGGACTTGCCAATACAAAAAACAGTCTCTGAACTTGGAAGAAGAGCACGAGTAGGAATATGAAAGTCGTCGGCAAGTGCAGTGGCATATGAACGGATCGTCGATGCCATCTCCACCGACAAGATGGTGTTTGTCGGCAGAAGAGCAAACAGTCGCGTCGTCTGGAAGGAGACGACTGCAAAGGAGAAGTGTCGTCGACTACATAAGACGACTGCGAGAAGGAAGAGCCATCGTCTATGGGAGGGAGACAATAGCGAGCGATAACAAGGGCGAGTGAGAAGATGTCGAGTAGAGACGACACGAGCCACGATTACGAGGGCAAGTGTCGTCGACTGCGGGTGACGTCGTCGAGTATAGAGACGAAGCGAGCGAGCGTCAACGACAAAGACGTCTGCAAGCGAGCGTCGTCGAAAAAGCTGCGAGGGCGTGAAAACGTCGTTGCGGAAGACAATGGAGAGAAAGTGAGAAAACGAGGAATCACCGCAAAAAAGGTCGAAAAACATTGATAAATTTTAGTGAGTGGGTGCAAATGATCCACTCACAAGGTATACAAACACATGCAAAAAAGGTCCAAAAGTACAAGTATACCCCAAAAAAAATAACCCCCAAAGCTTCAATACCCACCACCTGCAGAGCACACAATAAGACCAACACAAGGGAGGTCAGTCATGATGGGAGGGTTTTCCTCTCCCCCTCCCACGGGTTCTAAGAAAGGGGTCCAGCAACAAACTGAAATTTGGGCTTCCACCCTAGATGATCAACTGACATCTTGTGAGTATTGAAAGTGAGGCATTCCTTTTTCTTCCTCCTATATATTTTCGAAATCTGCCAATCATCTTCCAAATTTTGTCCCTCGTCTTTCACACCTTGATTTTGACATTCCTCCAGAACATGAGTACCTTCTTGAACAGTAATAAATGGTTCCAACTCGATTGGGTGATCATTTGTTACGACCAATTGAGACTAAATAAGAGTCTCAGTAGGCTTGCTTATAGATGAATTCCCAACAGGTTCACTGGAAGCAATAGCAGTTTGTGTAGAAATAGATTCAGCGTTAAGGGTGGTGGCAGCAATCAGCTCATCAGAGTGGTTGACATTGGTAACGGGAGGTTCCAATAAAATGGCAGGACCTAAAGTTGCCTTGTTGATAGCACTGGCAGAAATAACACGTCTAGGAATAGATGGTTCATTTGCATGTTGTTCAGCCATAGGATTATCTGTATTCAAATGCAATGGAATATTGAGTGTCAACTTTGGGTGCAATCTGAAACATTTATCATATGTGTGACCAAACATCTTACAATGATTATAATAGCAAGATCTTTGTTCCGTAATGATTTATTGTCAGTAACCATTATGAGAAGTGTTAAGCCAGATTTCTTCTACATCTGAAAGTGTAATATCTCTTTATACTAAGATCCTTGAAACATAAAACCTTGACAAATTAAAGCTAGAAATGCCTAACTTCATTGGTTTTCCTAGAATATCACCAATAGAATATAGAATTTGATGGTTGAAGAAATGAAGCTTGAGTCCAAGTAATTTGTACCATATGGGCACAATAGGAGGTTCTTGACTTAGATCAAAGTCATATAACCCTTTAAGTAATTTCATATGTTTGCCCTCAGATAAAATGTATTTCATAGAGAATATCCTGACATAGTCTTCTTCTTTACTCAGTTGTGTCATAGCATGTCTCCCATAAAAAAAGCTTGCCTTCCAGCCCCCAAATAATTTGAACTTTAAAAACTTTCCTGATAGAATTCATCTTAGGGTGACCCGGTTGGACCATTCCAATCAGCGTAAATTTATAATTTTCAGCAAGTGTTGAAACTTCAGTGGCAGAGAAGATTATTGCTGGTTTGTCCCCCTTCTTTCCTACTTTTTTTAAGAAGTTACAATCTCCCTGCTTTGCAAATGAATCATGGTAATTTTGAGGAAAAACAAAAGTATCTCCAAGCTGGAATGGATCACTGCCTTACTCAACCACAACAGCATAAGAGGGTTTGCCCATGTTCGGAGTCAGTTCAGTCACAAAAGAAGAGGAGGGGGTTGTCATAAAATTAGTAACGAAATCCGAAAAATGAAATCCGAAAAAAAAAAACCCAAGGAGCGGCGGCTAGTAGAATCCCCAATCACCGGAAGCAAGTTTGTGTCGTGCGTGAGAGGAGCGATGACGTGCTCGCACGTGGTGGAAGAAGAATTTGGCGGATAAGAAGAAGAAACTAAGGCGTGCAACTCTTTCTAGAGGAGAAAATCGCGGCAACGACGAGAAAACCACGCAAAAACCATGAAATAAGCAAAGAGGGAATGATCTCACTCGAATCAGTCGTCATCGAAATACGAATGGAGCTTATTGCTGGAGGGAGGTGGGTTGGAGACGTGGGGCTCAATCTACGATTTGAGCCATAGGAGAACCAAATCACGAACAATGCAGATGACGAAGCTGACGAAGACACATAAAGCAACCGAAGGGGCCGGCCTAAGCAGACAAAATCAATGAAGGCGATGAAGCCAAACGAGATAGATGATTCAAAGAAGAAGACGATGGAAATCACCATTGGGCGAAACCCTAGCAGAGCCTCCCGCGATAAACATTTTGTTCTTTATTATTATTATTATTATTATTATTATTATATATGTATTAAGGACTATGCATAAAGTAGATAATAATAGAAGAAGGTGGATAGTTGTGTAAAGACACGGTTTCTATCCTGCAGTTTGTTACGGTGAGAGTGGAGAGCATCACATGGCAGGAAAAAATGGCACAGATCTGTCACAAATACTGTGCTCTCTTAAGCTTGGCTAGTTTACAACTCTACCTGTGTAGCAAATAAGAAGAAGCAAGCCAAGCCCAACCAGGAGTGAAGGCTGTAGAAGTTGTTGATTCCTTTATCATTGTGGAACTTCAGAGCTGCCCATATACCAATCGAGCCCAAAAATAAGGCGAGAAGTTGAATCGTAAGATGCACCGCCTTCTTGAAGTTCTTGGTTCCTGACACTGTTCTGTATGCTAAAATGGCTGCAATCATAAAGATAAACCAAGTAAAAGGGCGGGTTGAGAACTAAATTGTTTTCCAAAAGCATAAATATAAGAGAAATTTACATAGGTAGCACACAATTCTTATGTATTTACATATCTCACACCAAAACTTCCACATTTACATACATAGCACTTTAGTGCTTTAAATCTGTGTATGAAAATGTGTATTTCACTTTTCAGAAGTCGTAATAGTGTCACTTTCTTATGTGATATTTGATGCTGCGTAAAAATGAAAGCTTAGGTTTGAGATATGTAAATACATAATAATCGTGTGCTATGTATGTAAATGCCCCAAAAGGTAATGTGCATTAGGTTGTTATATATAGTAATGTGCTGCAACTAAAGTAGAATTCCTCTTCTGATAACAGAAAATTTCAACCCAATCTTCCCACTCCGCCAAAACGGTATTGTAAGTGTGCAGTGCTTTTCAGACAGCAAAAGCAACTTGAGAGGAAGGAAAGTTTAAAATAAACTATTTAAGGAAATTTGAAATACAGCAGGCTTCAGATTCATTAATTGTCTTTTGAAATAATAGCACTTAAAATTAATTTAAGTATTTTACTAATATTAGGATCTTTTAAACCAAGGCAAAGAAAGAAGCAGCCAAATGTGCTGACCAAGCTAGACCAACATATAAGGTAAGAGCAGGTTCAAATCTGATCATTCTGAAAAAATTCCATGGAGCATCCTAACAATCTTCCATTCACTAAATTTCTTTAAATTGGGATACCTTTCCTATACCCTTCCCTCCCTCTCTCTAATACAACAAATATTATCTGGTCCTGCAAATATAAAATCAAAAAAGGAAGCAACATTATACCTTCACCATTTAGGAGCACAAAACCAATCACCATTAATACAGGATGCACCTGAAACAATAAAAGTCAAAATAAACATACGGGTAAGAAGCAAATCAAGAAAAATATTATGACATGGAGTAAAGAATGTTGAAAAAAAATAGTACACTTATATGCAAGATTTACAAAGATAACATAGAATTTGCTATAATTAAGCATACAAACCTTGAAAAAATAAGGTGATGCAGAAAACAGAAAAAAAAAAAATCAGAGCACAAAAACACGTGAAAATTTTATAAAGGTTCGCCCAATTGATGGCTGCATCCTAATGGCATGCCGCTTCAAAAGGTCAACCTACGACTAAATCAGCATAGTGTAATTCCTTTGTAGGATTAAAATTAGGTATAATTTAACAATCTCCCTGACAGTGTAGGGGGGTGGTGTTATTCAGCAAGAAAAATCCAAAAAAAAATTCGATACAGGATATAAAGATAACAAAAAAAAAACAAGATGTACTAATCAAATAAACGATACAAGATACAAAACTTTCCTACTCTCACAACCGATTGGGATACATAAATCACCAACTGAAGGATTAACAAAGGAAAGTGACCCAAGATGTCACCACCAACAATGAAGAGATACAATTGACACCTCCCAACCACGTGGATACAAACTCGTCCTCATCCGGGAATTACAAAAAGAGCACAGGCCCTCACAAAACTCAAAGGAACAGAAGATCCCTATTACAATAAACAACTACATATTTATAGTCAATAAAGGACATAAATCTAATAAAACAAACAAAAGACAATACCCTTGCTGCTATTAAAAGTGGGCGGCAACCCTAGCCCTACCCGACCCTCTCTCACTTGGACCGAAGCAGTCTAGGGTCCCCTCCTCGTCCCGTGTCAATCTATCGGGATTGGTGGAGCTTTCATATGTCAAAACTTTCGACTCTTCATGATATAGTGTCAGATCGGTCATGTTGAAAATGGAGAAGCTGTTGCAACCTCCCGGAATTGGAGGGCCTTCAATTTCCGAAACTTATTCCTCAGTGGCATGGCTAGTGTTTAGGCATGGGAGATGAAATGGGTGTAGGGGGGCTAATTTAGGGCGAAAAAAATAAATAAAAAATAAAAAATAAAAAACTATTTAGGTTTGCAAATTTTGAAAATCAGCAAGTGAGAATTAGGGTTAGATCAAAATTTGACTATGGTTTGGTAGGTTTAAGTTTAGGAGGTAAGGGGGTGGATAGGACTGATTTAAGGTGCAGAAAAATTATAAAAGGTTGCTGATTTTGAAAATTAGTAAGAGAAATTAGGGTTAAGTCAAGATTTGGCTATGGTTTGGTGGGTTAAGGCTTGGGAAGAGTGTACAGAGTTGATTTAAGGAGCATAAAAATTATTTAGGGTTGTTAATTTTCAAAATCAGCAGAGGGGAATTAGGGTAATGTCAAGATTTGGCTATGGCTTGGGAGTTTAGGTTTGAGAAGATTTTTGTAACCCTAGAATGAAAATAGGGTTGGACTAGTTCTAATACCAAATAATATCGGAGAAGAGAGAGTTGGAGAAGAACGTAAATTCCAATCTATGAAACTGTGTTTCTCTATGCCAATCTTTCTTCTCCAGTAATCAATCTCAATGCAATAACAACAAGCCTTTGCCCCACTACGTGAGGTCGGCTACATGAATCATTTTTCTTCATTGTGCCTTATTCAGTGTCATATTTTCATTTAATTCTAGTAGATTAAAATCATTTTTTTATACAATATGTCCAAGTCTTTTTAGATCTACCTATGTCTTTCTCAAAACAAGTCGAATCTAAAACACCTACCCTTCTAATTGGATCATCAGATGGTTGACGTTTAATGTGACCAAACCATCTAAGACGACTCTCTCTAATCTTGTCTGCCACTGGAGCTACACCAACCAATTCCGGATATATTCATTTAGCATTTTGTCTCTAAGTGTCAAGCCACCCATCCACCTTTGCATTCTCATCTTAGCAACACTTCACTTTGTTTAATGCTTCTCTTTTAAAGGCCAACATTATGCGTCATAAAGCATTGCAGGTCACCGCCATCTTATAAAATTTCATATATGTCTAAGCGGTACTTTTCTATCACAAAATAGATCTGATGCATTCTCCACTTCAACCAACCAATTTGAATTCTACTAATAACATCTCCATCTATATCACCATCAGTTGAACAACAGACTCGAGATATCTAAAACGTTCACACCTTTTAATGATTTGATCACCCGTAGTTACAACTCTGTCACTAGAGCTACTGCTACTAAAATTGCATTCCATGCATTCAGTTTTAGATATAATCAAATGAAGGTCTTTAGACTTTATTGTAGACCTCCATAATTCAAGTTTTTTCCTGAACTCCCTCTAGTCTTGTCCACGAGAAGGATATCATCAGCAAAAAGCATACACCAAGATACATTCTCCTGTAAATGTCCGGTAAGAGCATCCATAGATAATACAAAAAGAAATGGTCTTAAAGTCGATCCTAGATGTAATCAAACTGAAATAGGAAAATACTTGTTTAATCTTCCTTCTATTCAAACACAGGTTACGGCTTTAGTATGCATATCTTTAATGACTTGATTGAATAGACTTGAATAAAAGTCATATCAACACCTTTCTTCTCTAGAACTCTCCAAAGGACTTCTCTTGGAACCTTATCATAAGCTTTTTCTAAATTAATAAAAATCATATATAGATCATCCTTATTCTTTGTACTTTTTCATCAAACCTCTCAATAAATGTATAGCTTCCATAGTAGACTTGCCTGGCATAAATCCAAACTGATTATGAGAAATCTTTGTATCACGTCTTAACATATGTTCAATTACTCTCTCCCATAATTTTAAAGTATGACACATAAAATTAATTCCTCTATAACTTGAACACTCTTGTGCATCCACTTTATTCTTAAAAATGGAATCAAAATACTCCTCCACTCTTCAGAAATCTTTTTAGTTTTTCAAATAATATTCAAGAGTTTAAATCATAAAATTTTCTGCATCAAAATTATCATGACATCATCTTAGGAAGGTAAACTAGGAGCCCAATTAGAGGGAAAAGCTTTTGAAGTGTTCATAAAGATCCCAAGAAAACCTCATTCCATTAAAAAAGTACTCCTAATGTAAAGCATAACTGAAGCTAATCATTTTAATACTCATACAACAATAGAAACACTAATTTTAAATGCTCTATGACAGGCCATTCCATTACGCCTCAGCCCCCATCCATGTAAGTGAGAACATCAACAACTAATTAGTATTATAACCTTCAATAGAGCATAGAATAGCACAAAAGAATCCAACTGTTTGCCTCAAAAGCATAGAATACCATTTTGCGGTGGTCACGAAGACCCAAAGAAAACCTAGCTCCATGAAACAAGTATTCTTGCCACAAAGCACATCTGAAAATAAAGCTTCTTGGAGCTCATCCTAGCACTAAAAACATTAGAATTGAGTGGTAAGTCTGTGAATCTTCCAATTTTAAAAGCAACAATGACCATGATTACATTAAACTTGAGAACCAATGTATCTAAGCCAAAAAGAACATCTACTACCAATTTAAATCATAAATTTTGAAATAAACCGTAGAAGAGCACTTAAGAATTCAAACTTCGGCATCAATGAATTAAGAACACGGCTCATTTTACTGTGCAGTACTCCAAAATGCAAACGCCTTGCCTGAACCGAACCAGAGATGAAATCTAGAACCTACTTTGTCTGAAACACGAAACAAATCTATCATAAAAGGAACCCCATACACACACATGCACAAAACCAAGGAAAAAATAGCATGTCTTTGGTCATGTTTAGCAGTTCGCAGCTTGATTTTACTGACTCCTTCGAGGCCATCAAGGAATCGCCAAAATGCACCAAATCAAGAACTCAGGAATATTAATGAAATAAAAAACTAGATAGGGAAAGA